ATGGAAAGCTATCGCAAGTTGGAAGAGGTGAGAAGATACTCCAACAAAGAATTGAAAGTGAGCCGAGAGTTGATTGAAGCGGTCAGAGGACAAAAAGAGTTTGCAACACTAGGGAAACTGAAGTCGTTCCAATATGTGTCTGGCATACCGGGGATGGCGTATAATCCCTTCGTGAACGAAGAAGCCAGGGAAGCGTACTTCGACTATGAGCAAGTCACAGTGCTCAACTTCTGGGTTGAACGAATTAAGGAAATCGGAATGCTGATGGTGGAACAACCCAAGCTGGGAATTATTTTGGAAGAACGAGTGGTCGAACCCTCGATTCCCGAGCTAAAAGGGCAAGTGAGTTTTGATTGTGGTTCTTGGGACGGTCCCTTGAAAACCAGTCTAGTAGTGATGTGGGAACTCATGAAGCCTTCCTGGTGTCCCCATCCTAACGCAGGCTTAATCTGGGACAAGACCGCGGATATCATGTTAGACCGGGATGATGATGCGAGTTTACATGATCTGGCCATGATACATCACCTGCTGGCCATGAAATTGACGAAGAGGAAGAGCAACCCGTCCACGGAGCTGTCCGAGGAAGGTACACCGAGTAATTGGTTGAAGCAAGGCACATGCTTGGCTCAACACAGTGGGATGGAAGGACATGTTTATAACCTGGGACACTGCCTGATTACGCTGAGCGAGCAGCATCGACAACTGGCACGACTGTACGGGAGATTGAGCATGTCAGATAAGAGTGCCATGGAGTTGGTCGCGGACTGCCATGGGGTGACGGACGTAAACCTGATCACAGCCTTGGGATTTTGTAGCATGACGAGTTCGATAGAATCGCTCGAGCGCCTGGAGCGTGCCCATGAGCTAGTGACGTCCCTCAGCGTGGAAATATTCCCTGGAGCATTGCAGACAGAGCAGAAGATTGGAGGCTGGCGAGAAGCTCTAGAAAATGAAATGAATCTGAAGGATAGTGAAGCCTATCACAGACCTACTGGTTCAAAATATATGGTGGGTTCAAGCTCCGCGCCATATTGTAATAGCAAGTATCCTACGCACATGGTGGTAATGGATGCGAGGACGCAACAAGTGTTGGTTGACCAACTTTTCTCTGTGCCAAAGTGCGTGAGGTTGGCCAGAATGTCAGAAAGGTCATATGACTTGTTGGCAAAGATCTTTCGGGCAGTCCCGAAGAGATCCGAAGGCGAGTTGCAAGACGTTGTGGGTGAAGAGCTCATGAGACTGAACGAAGGTAACGTGAGTGAGTTCCAGAAACAGAAAGCGAGTGGAGCGTTACCCACTGAATTCCCTACCATAGAAGAGAAAGACGATTTACATAGAATTCTGATGGAAGTGGAACAGTTGCTGGGAGCCTCAGGGTATCGGACCCGAAGGAACATAGTGAGAACCCATGGGGAGTATCCTTGCCACTGCTTGGCGCAGACGTTGTGGTACCCCAAACGCGGGAATCTGATCCTAGTATGGGACGTGGAGGAATTGTACTCCACGGGGTTGCCCGATCAGAATCAACAAGTGGCAATGGTGGTGGTTAGCGCCATGCTAGCAGTGAGATGGTTGGAGGCTAACGCGGACACAAGTCAGCAGGAGACGGCCGTGCCGACTCCTGAGCAGTTGATCAACGCGAATATGAGTCATGAATTGGATCTTTTCAGAACCACCTGCAAGGTTCTGAGGATACCTAAAGCCATTGAAAAAATATGGTCAAGGCAAAGATTGATGCCTTGGTTCCGTGCAGTGATGACATCTTGGATGTACGAACGCGCGAAGCGTCACATGTCAAAGAACACGGAAGCCTATCAATCTTTCCAGCTAGATATAGGACCAGGAGCCTATAAACGAGCATTCTTGACGCACAGAAACGCGGTCACCACAGCGGTAAAGCGGGTAGCTGGAACGCCTTGTGTTACTGAAGAGGAGAAGAAAGAGGTCTTAAGAGCTGACCTAGAACGAAACGTGAGCCTATGTCTTCACAACAGCTTTTGCAGGAACCGGGAGCAGAAGGTGAATGTGGACTTGCTACCTTGTTGCAAACCGAGGCTGCTGGAACAGGAGGGTTGGGGCACGGCCCGCAACTCTCTGGACATGTTAGAGAAAGTCCTGGAAGACAGTGACGCTGAACATCAGGATGGAGAAATGATGGAATAAAGATGACCAAAGAAGAGAAGAGAGGGAGAAAAAACTTGATTGTATTTGTGTGCTAAAACTTAAACCAATCAACCAAGTTTTGATTATTGAACTTGTGAAATTTTTTGTTTTGATCTAGTTTGGTCAGACCAAACTTTGAAAATGTTGCAATTGTTAAAATTGTTGAAATTATTGATTTTAGTTACTACTATCTATGTATGTATATAAGGAACATAGGTGAGTATATTTACCGATTTATTCACGACTGAAGTTTTTAACCTGTGTAAGACACAAATTCACTGTGTGGCGACATGGTAAGTTTGAGTAAACTCGCTCGAGAAGGGTGGGTAACTCAAGAACTTTCCTAGCCACAGAGTTTCTTAGTTTTAATATTGAAAGGACCGCATAGATGACTGATTATACTTGGTGAGTGAAGTTAAGTTAATTTTAACGGGTGCGTGGCCGTGCCACGTCCCACTTTTTAATCAGAGGCGAAAAGAAGTTTTATGGCGAGATGACGTAAGTAGTCAGAAAAGAAATTTTACCTAGGACACTCCTCATGGTGCAAATTTTGTGAAAATGTTGAAAGGCAGTGAGATGTAGTACGATGCCATTTGTGAACACGTAGTGAGTTGAGGTGTGGTAGATAAATTTCAATTTCTTATGCGATTTGTAAGAAAACTGGATAACTACTTGACGATAATTCGGTGTTATGCGATCAATAGGGACTTGTCCGGGGAGTATGTGCCATTCTGCCAGATGACACAGCACAACCTTCCGGCGACATAAAAAAGAGTGACAAAAGGCCTTATGAACAAAAAAGTGTTGCGACGGAGGGCCAGAATGTTCTAGAATTTTTTTTATTTTAAAATTTCGATTGGAAGAAGAACATTTCTGAGAAATAGAAAAAAGACGGCCATTTTGAATAAAAAGACGAAAAACAGAACCACGATAGAGATTGTGAAGAACAGTCGAGCAAGAAAATTACGAAGCCTCTTATCGTGGCAATAACACACGATAAGAACCTTAGCGACGGATTTTTGTGGAGAAGGAGGCTTCAGTGGGGGAAGAAATATACCACGGAACCCTCCCGGGACACGAAATATAGGAGATAAGAGTGTTATCTCAAGAATATCACGGGAGCGGAGGCTTGGTCCCCCAGAGACGGTCTATGTGAAGGGACTGTGTAGACTGACTATATAGCTGCTATAATGTCATAGATCTTAATTAACACCGTTATTATTTAATATTTCAGAGCATGAGTAGCTAGAAAAAGGAAAGGGTCAATCCATCTCTAATGGATTTAATATAGAACTGTCACACAAAAACATGTTAAAATAGGTTGTTCGAGCCATGTTTTTAATGACAATCACGTAGTCTGAGGATCCGAGACTCAGCTATGTGGTTGTGTTCGCATGTAAACGAAAGCTGATCAAAAGTCGTTTGACTGATGGCCTAAAAATGGTAACTTTTTACTTTGCCCTAGACAGACCAGAAAATCAACTGGCAAGGTCGAGACGGTGAAAAACGAGTAGAATTAAGGTAACTGACGTCTGCCAGTCGTTAATAGGTACTTTTTCTACGCTCCGTCGCTGTGTGATATTTGGGCGAATGTTACAGAGTCCGACATCTAGCCACAAGGGTCGATTAACACATCAAAGGGGACTCGCCAGTAGGGCAATACTTGTTAGAATGTAATAAGGGGGTAGGAGGTACTGCTCTGCTGAAATCACAGATTAAAGAACAAACAACCAAAACTCATAAGCTGCTCACACCAGATACTTTGCATATTTGGAGGTAGAGGCCGAGAATTAACACGCGATGAATTCAGGAGCCGGGAATTAACACTTAAGTTATAGTCTATATATAACATGACTAAAAGTGAAGAAACATGACAGAATCAAAAATAATCCCAAACCGAAATTTATAACCATGAAAAAACAAAAAACTAAAAAATCTAAGAAGTTTACTGGAAGAGGTTATTAATGATTACGTAATTTATTTGTAATTACAAATGTTTAAAGTTGATTGGTCAAAAAATGTTAAAGCATTTTAGACATGTTTCTCATTTTTCAGATCTTTGATCGTTCTGTCAATATTGTAAAAAAAAATTTAATCCTCATGATGCACTAAATCTGCGAAAACGTTTGAATTAACTTTGTAAATCAATTACTTCAACTTGACTGACACGTTCTTTCTCGGCTTTGGCTCACTAGTCGCATGATGAATGTCGTTGACACCTTTCGATTGAGTTTTATTTTCGTCACGTTCAGGAATTGCAAGAAAAAAAGTCTTGGCTCGTTGACAAAAAGTTCGCAAGTTCGATAATTTTGTCAGCTGCTAAAAGCCCAGGGCTATCAGTTGGCGTTGTATAGTGGTAGAGTTCGTTACCACCAATGAAGAGGATTATTGTATCAAACAGGTCTTTCAGGTGGAAGTAGTCGTAAAAGTGATTTGCACTTGCACCAGGTAGCGATAGGATATTCAGGTGTACAGCTTGCACTAATCTTGTCACTAATATCCCTCCATTGAGGGCCTTCCTCACAACATTTGTAACTTCATATCATATAAAATTATTTAATAAATGGATCAAAGGTCCACTGCTGTCCAAAGAAACAAATGGTGTTTACTTGAGTTCTAACCATATTTTATATCTAGATTGGGGGATATTTTGGTGGTAACCTTTAAGATGGAACACGATCTCGATGTCCCATTTCTTGAGTGAACGGAATTGGCTCCGACAGATTGAGGTGCAAAGGCACAAGATGTAGTGTCCCTGGCCCTTGAGCCAATGGTTATAGTTCCTGTTTCTCTTAACCTCGTGTGTCACTTTAGTGGACGACTTGCACTTCTAAACTTTCATTTTAGATTGTGTTTTGAAAATTTTGCTGAAATTTGCAACATTTTGTGAGTGAAAGTTTTGAGTGGAAGACTTACGGAATTTTGTCGAGTTTCCATGAATCAGTTTGGAAGTTACCTGGTAATTGTTTTAGTAGACAAGTTGATGTTTAATTGAAGTAGTAGCAAAATGTCTTTTAATGAATGTTTAGGCGCAAATATCAGTGTCAACTCCTAAGCATAACAAAGTTGGACCATCAAAATCTAATAATGCACTCTTCGTTAGCTCTAACAGAGCCAAGGCTAAGGACCCAGACCCTGCTGATAGCGATAGCAATGATGAGAACCAGGATCCGGGGCAGAGGCATCTCGTGTCCGTCTGTTCTCCAAGAAAGGGTCGTCCAGTCGACTCGACGCTAGACGAGTCATACTCTAGAAGTTCTCGAAGTCGATGGAATGAAACTGCCGAGGTGATGGACTTCGATGAACTTCCTCTGTTTAGAGCAACACCTCCATCGGATGATGAAACAAACGCCACTGCTGTGACTTTGGATTATTTTGTCCGCAGAACAACTCTCGAATTCCCAGCCATTCTGCCATGGAAAAATCGGAAAATGCCGTTGAAGTTCGAGAATCCAGCAGACGTTGAGCAGACCGTCGAGTTTAAAAAATGTCCGAACAAGAAAGGGTTTTCTCTTTTGAGAGTTTTTAACAGCGATGTCGTTGAAAGCAATTGTGTGAAAAGTGAGGAATCCTATATCCTACGTGTTCCTGCCGGGATGTCAGTTGTACAGTATTTACAATTTACACCACCACCTGAGTCTGCTAAAACTGAAGTTGTGAAAAGCTACGGCGATGTGTGGTATTTCTATGTGAGCGCAAGTTACTGGTGAGAGCCTGAACTAATACTTTAACACTAAAATTTGTTTTATGAAATTCATTTGTATTATTTTCTAATACAAAATAACTTATCAATCGAAATGGCAAAAACAGCGGTCAAAGTAGTCTTTTCAATCGCTTTTTTATTTCATTAGTTCCAATCTTGGAACTTATGGAAACTTTGGTATCAAAAACAAAGACAAACGCGAGCCTGAAAAAGCGTTAAGTTGATGCGCTTTTAAGGATGAGCGCTGTTGAAAACTGGAACAGATACGAATATTTGATTTAATTGATTTTTGTTTTAGGGTCAAATTGGTACTTGTGGCGAAAGTCTTGCCGGTTCCGAAGAAGCCTAAAAAGGTGGGTGTGATTCAATTATCGAATTTGCTTTTTGGCTAAGAAACGGTTTACATAACGAGGTTGTTTTATAACACAGCTCAGATCAAAATGTATTGTTCAATAAGCAAGTGTTAATCGTAAAATTTTTTCCTGTAAGCGAATCGAGTTGTTGAAAAACGTATTTCGATTGAAATACTGCATCATTTCGCAGGTTGCCTAAGAACGCTCCTCGGCTGAAATACTTCCACCTCGGCATTTACTAGCCACATTGTTTTCTTGAGTTTTGCTCTATATGTTTTCAGGTTATAAAGGTTCAATCTATACAGGTTCTAGCGGTTTGTCGAGGGCTATATCCTTTGGATATATTCGAGTGATTTCTTCTCAATTATAATTGAATTTACTTTAAAAAAAGTGTTCCAATTATTGAAGGAAGTGAGAATATATATGCTTGGGGTGGGAATTTAGACCAATTTTCAAGATTTTTCTCGGGGGATCGATCCCTGGATATGTGGGGGCGTACCAAGTTGCGCACCACTGTAATAACCTGACACGAGTGTAGCTAAACTGCTCGTTTTATACTTTGATGTTGAATCGGTCTCTTTTTAAGGGTTTACATGCATGCAATAAACAGTAAGTTTTCATACGAAATCGTTCGGTGGTTTCGGTGGTTTTGTTGTAGGGATTGCTATGTGCTTGCACAGTAAAGTTTTCTATATGTTTTCGTTTTGTTTGAAATTAAAAAAAAAATTAATTTCACTTCATTTAATCGGCTGAAATAGAGTCCAGAAAATTTTCATACTTCGTTTTTCATTGATTTGATTCCCATTCCATTTTTTTTTGAAGGTCATTAGACAAGGAGAAAAAGTTTCATACATTTCTTATAACATCGTTAAAAAAAAATTTCTTATTTTTTAGATTCTAACTTTTCTGTAATCGAGTCCGAATTTCATTTGTGAAGTTCTAGAAAATTTATCTTAACTTGTAAATTGGAAATATTTAGCACTTAATTTTTTAAGTGCAAAAGAACGAAATTATCGTCACTTATATAAGTCGTGATTAATTTTTTTCGTGTTTGTTTTGAAAAACAGTCATAAATGTTGTTCACGCACATGATTGGTTTTTCGCGGCTTGGTTTTTGATTTCTCAAGTTCAATTCTTTTCCTGTGAACAGGTAGGTAAAATCTATCGAACAGAAAAAGATTACGATAAATGTGAATGATTTCCAGTTTCAAAAATGGACATTAATTCTCCTAATAATGTAATTTGAAGAAAACTTTGAAATATAAGCACTTTCTGAACCTCATAGAGCTTTCTGCTAAGTTCGAAAGTTGAAAAAGTTCAAACATTTTCAATCGTGTATTTTTTCGGTTCTTTTCAATCTCTCTCCAAACATCTTTTGGCTATTTCGTTCACATTTTCTGATTTATCTCTTTTGCTATACATTAATTAGTTTTTTGTCCTTCTTGGTGATTGAATTCATACATTCCTTTTGATCTACTTTCTTTTTCAGAGCTAAGTTTTCTTGCTTTTAGAGAAATTTTTTATTAGAAACTGGCAAATAGATCTTTTTTTTTCTACCGCATTTTAATTCTGTCTTTCTACACTAACGTATTTTAAAAATTGAATTTTCATAATTTCTTATTGACGGTGTTGCGAAGCTCCGCTTTGCCTATGTGTTCGAACATGAACAAACTTTTGTATAACGAATTTTGTGCTTATTACTTGCATTAGTTTGTGCATAACAAAGAGCACTTAGTAGCTTTGGCAATTCAATAGAATGTGATTTTTTTGGTGGCTGATGTTCGGAGACAGCCAGGCGCTACGGCGCAGTTGTAAAAACATTGTAAGGTAACATCGAGATAGGGAGTTGTAATCATTTAGGGAGGAATTTTTTCAAAACCAAATTATTTAATTTAATTCTCGCATTTTAAAGCTCGTTATTCTTTGGTCGTGGTTCGCATCTGTTTTTCCCCGCCTCGATTGAATTAGCTATTATTTTAATTTTAGTATCTAAAATAAACTGAGTGGTCAGTGATGGGTAAAACGAAAAATATGTCTTGCTGCTCGAGACAGAAGAATCGTTTCAAGAAATACAGTAATTTATAAAAATGAAAAGACGGAAAAATTTTGGGTTGTAGTATATTCCCTTGACGCTCTAAGTTGATTTCTCTTCTTAAGGTTGATTTTTGTTCCGACATTTGTAACGAAAGAACCCGAATATTTGTGCTCGGGGTGTTTTTTTTTTCTTCAGACAAATTTCGGCTTTTGAACTAGCCAATTTTGACGGAATTTTAAAAAATCATTCAAAAGGTATTGTTGTCTTGAGCTTAAATTTGAAATGATATTTCACATGTGATCATTTTTTGTAAAATTATGGGTGTTTAAAGAATACCAATTTGGGACAATTAACGCGCGATAATTTTCGCGATATCAACGCGTTAGCGGAGATTCAATCCGTCTTAGAAGTAGTTTCAAATTGGTTGAAAGGATTTTATTTGCCATAATTAGTTTGTTACTAGGAGCGAAAGTTATTACTCTGTACTTTATATGGCTTGTTGGGTGTGTGACTTTCACAAAAAATCTGAAGTTAAAAAAATCATTTTATTTTCGTTACATTTTATTTTATCATGTTATTACTGCTCCATAGACCTTTAGAGGCAGTCGGAACATTGAAGGATTCGCCCTAATACGAGCAGTTTTGTTAAGACTAGCGAACGCTTGCGTTGTTACGTCTGTTTCAGCATTATTGTTTAGCCTTTGTTTCAAGAAAAAATGGTGGTTTTGTATTCACTGCTAACTGAGCAGTTACTGCAAGCTTGAGTTGGTTGACAAATTTGTATAGTGATTAGCTTTACGGTGATTTTTTTTTCAATATATCTCATTAGTCAGTCATTTTTGGTCACTTAGAGATCATAGACAACTGTAAGTTGTCTATGTTGTTAAAAAGTTTCTTCAGAGCACTTAGTTCGAGATATTGAGTTTTTCAGAAAGTCGTAACATTTATTCGTGATCAAATTTGATTTATGTTGTCAAAAAAGTATCCATCCTTGCACTTGCTAGCATGCGAGCGGTGAGTATTAGTACGGACTTTCTTTTTTTCCAACCTAACTTGGTTCATTTATTTGGTGGCACTTTTGCTAGAATCACAATCTGTACCATCAGGAGTTTCATAGAATCTGTTCTCTGCTTCGTTTGTGGCCAGTGTTTGTGATGTTTTTAAGCATCCGTGGCTGAGTGGTTAGTGCTTGAGACTCATAATCTCTAAGTCGAAGATCGATTCCGAGACGTAGCCGAATTTATAGTAATTCGATGCTTATTTCTACTTTTTATTTTTGCTTATTATAGAGCTGCTTCTTTGTCGTGTTCTCGCTAGTGTTTTCGAAGCGCAGCTTCGCCTCTGTGTTAAAGCTTCTTATAATTCAATGAGCTTTTTTATGGCTTGATTTTTAATAACCTCATTGGTTTATAACTGGCGGTTCATGTTCAGAAACATTATATCAAGCGGTTGATTTTTAGAAACCAGAAAGTTTATAACGTTTAGTGAAGTGTAGTGAGCGTAAACACGTCGTTGTGGCTTGTCTAGATAGGCCTAAATTTAGTTTGTAGATTGTTTTCGTCTGCCAAAGAATCGGTCAGTCAGATAGTTTTTTGATTGACTATTTGCATTACTCGCAAATCCTACGTTTACCATATAATCCTTCATATGAGTGCACTGAACCGGCCAAACTGGGTTACAAATGTTTTCTTTTGGTTATGTTAACCTTCGCGTTAGTTGATTTCTCTTCTCATTGTTTATTTTTGTTCCTTGGGGGAGTTTTTTCGGACAAATTTCGACTTTTGAACTAGCCATTTTTCAAAGAATTTGTTTACATCATTCAAAAGGTAATGCTGTCTTGAGCTTAAATTTGAAAAGATATTTTACCTGTGATCATTTTTCGTAAAATTATGGGTGTTTAAAGAATACCAATTTGGGACAATTAACGCGCGATAATTTTCGCGATATCAACGCGTTAGCGGAGATTCAATCCGTCTTAGAAGTAGTTTCAAATTGGTTGAAAGGATTTTATTTGCCATAATTAGTTTGTTACCAGGAGCGAAAGTTATTACTCTGTACTTAATATGGCTTGTGGGGGGGTGTGACTTTCACGAAAAATCTGAAGTTAAAAAAATTCTTTTTATTTTTGTTACATTTCATTTTATCATGTTATTACTGCTCCATAGACCTTTAAAGGCAGTCGGAACATTCAAGGATTCGCCCTGATTCGAGCAGTTTTATCTAGACTAGCGAACGCTTCCGTTATTACGTCTGTTTCAGCATTATTGTTCAGCCTTTGTTTCAAGAAAAAATTGTTTGTGTTTTCACTGCTTACTGAGCAATTAATGCAAGCTTGAGTTGGTTGACAAATTGCATAGTGATTAGCTTTACGGTGATATTTTTTTCAATTCATCTCAGAAGTCAGTCATTTTTTGGTCACTTAGAGATCATAGACAACTGTAAGTTTGTTAAAAGTTTGTTCAAAGCACTTAGTTCGAGATTTTGGTTTTTTCAGAAAGTCGGAACATTTATTCATGATCAAATTTGATTTTTGTTGTCAAAAAAGTATCCATCCTTACACTTGCTAGCTTGCGAGCGTAGAGTTTTAGTACGGACTTTCTTTTTTTCCAATCTAACTTGGTTCAATTATTTGGTGGCACTTTTGCTATAATCACAATCTACATCATCAGGAGTTTCATACAATCTACTCTCTGCTTCGTTTGTGGCCAGTGTTTGTGATGTTTTTAAGCGTCCGTGGCTGAGTGGTTAGTGCGTGAGACTCATAATCTCTTAGTCGTAGATCGAATCCGAGACGTAGCCGAATTTTTAGTAATTCGAGGCTTATTTCTTCTTTTTATTTTTGCTTTTTATAGAGCTGTTTTTTTGTCGTGTTCTCGCTAGTGTTTTCGAAGGGCAGCTTCGCCTCTGTGTTAAAGATTCTTATAATTTAATGAGCTTTTTTATGGCTTGATTTTTAATAACCTCATTAGTTTATAACTGGCGGTTCATGTTCAGAAACATTATATTGAGCGGTTGATTTTTAGAAACCAGAAAGTTTATAACGTTTAGTGAAGTGTAGTGAGCGTAAACACGTCGTTGTGGCTTGTCTAGGTAGGCCTAAATTTTGTTTGTAGATTGTATTCGTCTGCCAAAGAATCGGTCAGTCGGATAGTTTTTTGATTGACTATTTACAATAATCGCAAATCCTACTTTTACCATATAATCCTTCATATGAGTGCACTGAATCGGTCAAACTGGGTTACAAAAGTTTTCTTTCGGTTAAGTTAACCTTCGCATTAGTTAGCATCACACGTTATTCGAAACTCGGATATAACTTTTCTAGGGTGAAGCTTGTTTAGTAAGATCTAAGTGTAGTAGTTCAGATCATGTAAACTAAGAAAAGGACTTCGTTAATGATCAGATTATTTTCTTATATGCTCGTCATATTGTGTTTATTGTTTTAAGGTGACATTGAAACACTGTAAACAAACTTGATTCACCGCAATTGTCGATTGTTAAGCAATAGCAAATTTATTGACAAAAATGAATTTAGTTATAGTATGGTTTGCATCTTTTTGGTTGTTTAGCATCAACTTTGGAGCAACATATGATATTGTTGTTAATTCGACTGTCAATCCAGCTTGGTCTTCTTTGAAGTTCTTAATTCCTGTTAACATCCCGTATAATTACGCCTGGTCACTGTGCAATAAGCTTAGTAGTTACTACTGTCTAACTACTTTTGTAACTGAAGAAGGCATATACAATCCAGCCTTTCAAGTCCGGGCCATTTCTGGATCATTTATTGCCAGCGATTCGTTTGGAAGTCATCTTAACATGTTGAAGAGATTTGTTAGAGAAGAATGTGTTGATCTCTTTGAACCAGTGTATGCGAAGCATAACCATTTTCTACGCAGAGAGGGTTGTTGTCAAGGTCAATGTTTTTATTATTTCAGGTACGGTTACAGAGGAGCGTTTCTTTCTCCTAAGGAGTATCTATCAAAACTATTTGATTACTCAGAGGAGGGCAAGCAACTTAATTATATTTTATCATTCCACGACTCTGATTGTCATGTTAATATAATAACCAAAATCGGTTTCGGTATCGGAGAGCTAAAACGAGAGAGTCATAGGAGTGGTTTGAGAGATCAGCGTCAGGGTATCCCGTATCTATTAAAGGTCGGGGTTGAATGGACTCCAAGAATACCGTTTGAGAATCCGGCTGATTTCATAACCTTCAGCTGGTTCAAAACGAATGTAATGTGCCCTGACCAGCCCTGGATTTGTCAAAATCAAAGGAGCTGATGCCCGGAAAGAGTTAACTTAGTGGCAGAGATTATTTGGATGCAGAAAAAAACTATCCAAATCTTAGACATTAATTTTGGTTTGCTATTTTTGAATATACATGAGTGTTGTAAGATATGAAAATGACACATTTAACTGCTAAGGGTCATTGATTAGTGTGAATGTTTAACTATATTGTTAATGAGATTTTTGTCTTCGGCTTTCTTGTGCCTCAAATGTTGCCCCTTTGTTACTTTTTAACGACATCCATTTTCGGTCAACCGACCCGAAAATTTACTGTCGCTTTCTGCGCTAATATATACTGCTTTCGAAGAGGGAGGGCGCGCCGAAAACCTTACAATGACCTAAAGCGGTCTTCAAAATTTAGCCTGCCGCGAAGAAAAATTTAGGAATTTCGAAAATTGATTTTGCCGGCCTACAAAAAATAAGGTCGACAGAACCTTCAAAGTTTTCTTTGTCTTCCTCGAGAAAAAAATCCTAGATCCTCCCTGGTTCCAAACGGAGATCAAATTAGGTGCCTTAACTGGAAAAGAGCAGATTGATTTGAATTTCAAGTTTCAGAAGTGTGAATAAATTTCCAATGAAATATAAAAGTATCTAATTGCTCGATTGTTAAGCGTTAATAAACGAAGGGATTAATTACCTATTAGGTCGTTTGCTTTTTTTTTCAGGAAAAAGTCTTTTTTTTTCACGTTCAAATCGATCTCACGTTGTGAATTATGATATTTTAAAGTTCAATTCAAACTCATTTGCTAAATGAAAGACACATTACGCTCTCCAACTGTAAATGGCGGAAAAAACTCGAACGACTTTTGGTTTTTAAAATGAGCTCGTTTTTTTTTGCAGATTTCCCAGAGGAATGAAAAAAATATGCTTTGGTTGGTTTTATTCGGTTGGTTTATCTATTTGGTTGGTTTCGTCGAAATAGTCAAAAAATGTTGTGTTTCAATGGACGAAAAGAAGACACTTAATTAGGTCATGTTTCACTTGTGAGAGCAAGTGACTTGTAATTAGAAACTAAAAATTTTCTTGACAAATCTGTTACAGTTTTAACATGCTAAATTATGGTACCTCAATACCTTTGAGGCCTCTTCTGGCTTGGTTTGGTGTAAGCATGCGTGCCGTGAGAACTGAGCGTCTTGGATTCGAATCCCGGGTGGATTTTTTTTGATAGCATTAACATAATTTTTTTTTCTGAGAAGTTTTGAAAAGTCGGTCAATTATTTCTCTGCTTATTTTTTGGTTGGCTTTTTTCACAATGTGTGGAATTTTGTTCCGATTTAAACTTAGTTAAGTTTTATCGAAAATCGTTCTGTTTCTTCCTTAATTACGAACTCTGACTGTTAGTACTACCTTCTGTAATTTTTTTTTCGAGTTTCAACTGTTTGATATCTTGAAGTTTTTTTGACATTTATTTCTTCCGGACATTTTGTGTCTGCGCACGTATTTTCGGCTTAGTTACCGCTGCGTAAATTTTTTTTCGATGCTTATTCAGCTCTGGCAGTTGTCTCAACTAGCCTCAAAATGAACATATGCTAATCGAAACAAACTTTTCGACCTTTTTCAAAGATTTTTCACTGATTTTTCGTCTGATTTTTTATCGACTAGCGTGACATGTTAAGTTTGTGTTGTATCGCAAATGGTTCGAAACTCCGCTTCGCCTTTGTGTTTATAATGAGAATGAAATTTTGAACATAGCTTTCAATAACTCCTGTTCTTTTTTTCAGCGAATTGCGATTTGGACCAAGGCACCTAAAATACCGGTGAAATCAATATCACGAGGAGTGCTAAAACCCATTACGCAATCGCCCATGCTGAACAAAAAGCAAAATCATCAGCAAAGTACTTTAGGCAGTACTTATTCAAAGTTAAAAGAAATTGAATGTGATGAGAGAAATATTCTGGTCCAGCCGAGTTCAAGTCAGTCAAAGCCTGTTAACAAGTCGGCGACAAAGCGAGCGGCTTCTCGGACTATTTCGGACACGGGGAGTCCAGATACGCGAGACAGCAAGTTGAAAAAACAGCCAAAAATTGTTCAAACTGAACCAAATTGGCGAGGCGTTGTTTTAAGAAACTCTTCGTCAGTTAGAAGGAAAAAAACGGGTACTCAAGAAACAGATACCAAAAAATCTTTCAAATCTGCAATAAAATCGTCGCCGTTATTACGAAGAAAACCGAGCGCAAAAGAGAAAAAAGTTGCCAATGGTAGTGAAATTTGTGAAAAAAGTACTCAAGTTGAAGGGTTAACTGGTAGTTGTGATCAAAATTCCGACGAAATATGTAGTGAAAAAGTTCATGAAGCAAGTACTCAAGTGGTTAATAAATTTGATCGAAATACTGAACAAATGGGTGGTGATCATTCTGACAAAAATTCACAAGACTCTTTGGTTGTTACACGTGAACAAAATAACGGCGAATTATGTGGAGTTCATGCAGCAAGTACTCATGTGGCTATCAAAGGTGATCAAAACGCTGAACAAATTGGTGGTGATAATTCTGAAAAAAGAACTAAAGTAGACGTTGTGATTCTCACAGGTGAACAAAATAACGGCGAATTATGTAGTGAAGTTCATGCAGCAAGTACTCAAGTGACTATGAAAGGTGATCAAAACGCTGAACAAAATGGTGGTGATAATTTTGAAAAAAGAACTAAAGTGGACGTTGTGATTCTCACAGGTAAACAAAATAACGGCGAATTATGTAGTGAAGTTCATGCAGCAAGTACTCAAGTGACTATGAAAGGTGATCAAAACGCTGAACAAAATGGTGGTGATAATTTTGAAAAAAGAACTAAAGTGGACGTTGTGATTCTCACAGGTAAACAAAATAACGGCGAATTATGTAGTGAAGTTCATGCAGCAAGTACTCAAGTGGCTATGAAAGGTGATCAAAACGCTGAACAAATTGGTGGTGATAAATCTAAAAAGAGAACTAAAGAAGACGTTTTGGTTGTTACATGTGAACAAAATAACGGCGAATTATGTAGTGAAGTTCTTGCAGCAAGTACTCATGTGGCTATCAAAGGTGAACAAAACGCTGAACAAATTGGTGGTGATAATTCTGAAAGAAGAACTAAAAAAGACGTTTTGGTTGTTACAGGTGAACAAAATAACGGCGAGTTATGTAGTGAAGTTCATGCAGCAGGTACTCAAGTGGCTATCAAAGTTGATCAAAACGCTGAACAAATTGGTGGAGATAATTCTGAAAAAACAAGTAAAGTAGACATTTTGGTTGTTACAGGTGAACAAAATAACGGCGAATTATGTAGTGAAGTTCATGCAGCAAGTACTCAAGTGGCTATCAAAGGTGATCAAAACGCTGAACAAATGTTTGGTGATAAATCTGAAAAAAGAACTAAAGTAGACGTTTTGATTCATACAGGTGAAAACAATAATGGCGAATTATTTAGTGAAGTACATGCAGCAAGTACTCAAGTGGCTATCAAAGGTGATCAAAATACTGAACAAATGGGTGTCTATAGTTCTGAAAAAAGAACTAAAGTAGATGTTTTGATTCTTACAGGTGAACAAAATAATGGCGAATTATTTAGTGAAGTACATGCAGCAAGTACTCAAGTGGCTATCAAATGTGATCAAAATACTGAACAAATGGGAGGTGAAATTTTTGAAGAAAGAAGGCAAGTTCAAGGGTTTACTTCTAATGCAAGTGGACAAAAAAGTGACCAAATGGAAATTGAACTTGAAAAAAGTGCCCATAAAATACAGACCTGGTGGCGAGGGCGGAAGCAGCGTATTAAGTATCTTAGGCTCAGATCAATGACGTTACATATACAAGCTTTTGCTAGGGGATATTTGGAGCGTTCTTCGTTATTTGACGATAAAAGGGCGGGCGATACTTTATACAGGTATTACCTAAACGCTGTTAAAAATTCTGGAGTTGAAAATTTGGAGAGCTTGGGTTCATATAGCGACCAGTTGAAATATTTTGTCGAAGAGAAAGCAGCTTATAAAATTGCGGATTACTTGAAGTGTTTATTAAAATCAAGACAGGCAAGAGATGAATTTATTGCAAAACGCAGAGCTGCGGTTGTGATTCAGAATGCGTTTCGAAATTATAAATCCATTAAAGCCGCGAGACTTTATTTGAACCTGGTGAGAGAGAAGAAAAATCAGGAAATGGTTGCAGAACGAAAGAATACAGAAGAAAAAGCAGCGATTTTGATTCAAAAAGGTCTTCGCTCTTACATCAATACCAAACAGACAAGGAATAGATTTATAGTTCAAAAATGTGCTGCAATTATAATTCAGAGAGCTGTCCGCGCATTTTTTACAAGAAAAAGAAACATTGAAATTCAACAACGCCGAAGATTATCAGCTAATGTAATTTCCTCATGGTACAGAGCCAGAAGGGAAATTTGCGTCGCAAGACGAAATTACAGATTAAAAATAGAGAAAATTGTTCAGTTACAGAGCCTAGTTAGGGGATATTTATTCAGAAAGGAGTTGAAAAGAAGAACTGAAGCAGCAATTGTTATTCAGGCGAAGATTAGATCTAATTTACAGAGGCGGAACTTCCTGAAATTGAAATCAGCTTGTATGAAGATACAGCGAATATTTCGCGATAAACAAGCTGATAAGCTTCATGAACATGAGATTTATTTGGAAAAGGTCGTTTTGGCGCAGAATTGTGTTCGAAAATTTATAGCTCGGAAGAAATTCGAAAGAATGTGCTCGGTTATCGAACCTGTTAAAAAGTCGTTTGTGGAAATTCGAAGTGCAATTATTATTCAAAGAAAATTCAGAAAAGTTCGAGGTAAATTGTTGCTGAGATATTACACTACCAGGTTACATCGGTCGGCCCTGAAAATACAACGTCTATGGCGCGGGTACTGTTTACGGAGGGATTTAGAGTATTTCAGGGAAAACGTTATCACAATTCAAAGAGCATACCGAAATTACAAAGAATGCAAAGATCTGAAAATTGAATTGGAAACAAAAATGAAGTCAGTTATAAAAATTCAAAGCGCATGTCGTGGATTCATTGTTAGAAAGAATTTCAATCTACCCAAAATGAAACAAGCTGTTAAAGTTATTTGGAAGTTTTACACGGATAACAAAGAAGGATATATACAAAGGAGAACAGAACTGAGAGCTGCTATCAAGATTCAAGTAAGTATTGAAAGAGTTTCAATTTTTTGTCCGAACCCTTAAGTGGGGAGGAACTTTGGACAATGTATTTTTTTCCACAAAATATGGCGAAAAGTTTCATCACTTGACTAGCTTGATTAGTAATTATGTTGCCGGAATAGCTTGCGGTGAAAAACGTTGACGTTATGCAAATCGATTCGCTTTATAATTACCTGAAGTTTGTTTGGCTTTCAAAGTTTGTTTGGCATACTAAGAAAAACTATCTTGATTATGAACCGATTTGAGAAGATTCAGTGCTCGATTGGCCTGCTGAGAAAAAATAAACTTTTCTGAACCGATCCGCTCTGAAATAATTTGACATAATTCAAATTTTTGTTGCTGAAATGGCTTACTCAGAAAAAAAGTTTGAACGAATCAATTTGAGACATGACTTAACTTGAACCATCTAACGGCTTCATCGTTTTATTGTCTTGCTTAAAAAAGATTTTAGGGAATCGATCCGCAGTATGGAGTAATTTGAAAAATTCAAAGTTGCATCACTTGGGCTTGCTCAGAAAAATTAGCTTCTTGCAAATCAATTTAAGGTTTGAAAGAACACATTAATTCAAAATGTCATCACTTGCTCAGAAATTTTTAACTTTTTCGAATCGATTCACAATGATATAACTTGAATTGTTACAAGGCTTGTTTGGCCTGCGCAAATTGATTCATGGTTAGAAATCATTTTCAATTCTTTAGCCCTTGAATGACTTGCTCAGAAAAATTTACTAGCTGCGAAGCGATTTTGAGAAAGATATTACATAAAAAATTTTAATCTCTTGAATGGTGTGCTCATATAAGCTTTGCCAGCCTGTATTATTTTCAAGGTTACATTGCTTAAATGAGTAGCTTGCCTCGAAAAATTCAAAATTTGTGTTACGATCTGGAATAATTTGACATTAATTCAAAGTTTCATTGATTTATAGCTTGATCAGAAACGAACTTTTTGCAAGCCTATTGATAAACGGACATGGGATCGCTAGTTTTTCTAAAGCAAGATTTTTTATTCTCTCTTTGCTGACATTAATCATTCATTGATGGCTAACACAGTTCTGATTTTTTTTTCTTAAATCTTCAGAGTATCTGGAGAGGTTACAGAACTCGAAGTGCAAACAGGGTTCCCGAACTACCGGACAACAACTCGGAGCAGCAGCATCATCATCATCATCAACAACAACAACAACATAACATCGACCATGTAGTGGCCGTCTCTTGCCATTCGCCGACGGAAGCAGAAAAGAAACAGCGCCGTCTTTCTGAAATCTACTCCAACCTAAGAAGTCTGGATCCAGATAGTCTCCCGTTGAGGGCTAGAATGGCAACTGGATTAGCCAATTTGTTGAACTTGAACATGGTGTCTAAAATCATACCGGTGCTGTCTGATATTGGTAAGTTAGTTTTGTTGTTCGTTGAGAAATTTCGAGTCATCGGTTTTGCGGATGAGCATTACACAACCGAATTCGTGCGTTTGCAGGTCAATTTCAAATAATAGTTACTTGAGTTATTTCCTAAGACCATTTATCCACTAGGTAAAATACCACTATATAAGCAGGTTTGCTCGTTACGGAGAATCGCTGGTTTGTTGTTGCTTAAGAGTTTCATGCAATTCTTTAGGTTATTTTTCTTGGCTGATAAATGTTGTCATCTACTGACAAAAAAAACACTTTAATTGCACATCGAAATTAATTTCAATACACAAGTGTATGTCAAATGTTTTCTGTTTTTTTCCTATCAGTTCATAAAAATATTATAACATCATTAGATACACATAGTTACAATAACAATAAACAAAACAAACTCGATTACAATTATCGATGATTACTTTTCACCTGAGAGCTTCAAGATGGTTGGTAAATAAATGTTATTATATAAACTTGAAGCTTTTCCATGAAACTTTACCATGAGTTGCCACAGAGGGGTCTTCTTTAAATAATAATAAATAATAATTTTTGAATTTTATCTTTGCTTTTCTGTATGTTACTATGTCTTTAAAGTTGACTTTATCATCTGTTAGTTTGTTCCAGATTATGACGGACTTTTTAAAGAAGGAATTGTCTATGTATTGCCCATGGTATCTGTCGCCGAAATATAATTTTTTGTTTCTTGTATTAATATCTATTTGGTGGTTATCATACTCAATGTTATAATAGGCTGGCAATAATTGATGTTGTATTTTCCAAAAGTGACATAATATTTTATAGTCCAGAAACATTGTTACTGGTAATATATTGTGTTTTAGCTTCAAGTCTGAAGATGAGTTGTATTTTGCACGATCGCAGCAAGTTTTTACTGCCCAGCTTAATTGTTTTTCCAGAGATATCATTAGGTTAGCGGATATTCCACTTAAAAGAATTGCTGGGTAATGCAAATGACTAATTACCAGTGCATGCATTATCAAGAGTCTTGTTTTCACTGGCAATGGCTTTTTGATTGATTGAAGTGTTTTTATTCCGCATGCCATTTTCCTGAGAATATTTTTGATTTCATCTTGGAATGTGAGAAATTGATCTAAAACTACTCCTAGGTATTTAACATTGGTTTTTTCCTCAATTATTTTATCTAGAGTTATAGTATACTTTTCATCGTTTTTCCTTGAATGTTTTTTGCTGAAAACGATGAGTTCTGTTTTTTTTGCATTCAATTGAAGTGAGTGTTCTAAAAAATAATTTGACAATAGACTGCAATTGGCTTCGAGTGCTTTAATAGCTTTTTGTGGATCGTTATTTTCACAGAATAGTAATGTATCATCCGCATATTGAACTGTTTTACATGTTTTGTCAATTTGTTTGTTGAGATCGTTAATGTAGAGATTGAATATTAGAGGGCCAAGGACAGTGCTCTGTGAGACACCCTGCTCAAGTGTAATCCAATCGGATTCGGTGTTGTTAACAATTGTTTTCTGACTTCGGTTGGTGATAAAGGAATTGATCATTTCTATAGCTTCTTCGGAAAAATTTAACCCTTTTAGTTTTTGGTTAAGATAAGTATGATCAATAGAATCAAATGCTTTAGAGAGATCCAGTAAGGAACATGCTAGTTTTGTTGTTGTCTATTGCTTTTCTGAATGCTTCAGTGCAATAAAGAATAGCGTCGATTGTTGAATATGATGTTCTGAACCCAAATTGGGTATTACTTAGTAATTTTTGGGATATCAGATATTCGTTGATTTGTTTATATAACAATTTTTCAAAAACTTTTGAAAGAGCCCCAGTTATAGAGATAGGCCTATAATTTTCTGGCAGTTCTGGATCTTCTTTTTTGTATATTGGTGTGACAATTGCTTTTTTGAGCTTGCAAGGATATGTCTTGTTTTTCAAAAACTCATTGTACAGAAATGTCAGATGTGTGTATATTTCATTGCAGCCATCCTTCACTGCCCAGGCTGGAATTTTGGATGGACCTGGTGCCTTTTGACAATTTAAATTATGTATTTCTTTTTTACATTCAGCTGATGTGATGAATCGGAATGAAAATTTATTATTTCGAATTTTGCATGTTGAAGTCGGTGGACTTTGCCTGATTTTTGAATTTTTCTCATAAAAGCATCCAAGAGTTGAGAACTTGTAATTTAGCAGGTTCGCCATCTGTAAATTATTGGTTATGAAATCGCCGAAGGAGTTTCTAAGTAATGGAATGAGGTTGGAAGATTTTTTTGAGTTTCTTGTATCGTTTATTATACTCCCTTTTTCGCGTTCGCTTTTTTTCGAGTTAAACAGTTGGGAAATAAATTTATCATCTTCGTAGTTTACCTTTGGTTTGTCGTTGCGAATGAAAATAGTCTTCTGTGGGGCACATTCTTTAATGGTGTCAGCAATGTTAGATGTGAAGATGTCGAGCATTATTTCGGGATTATTATTGCTATAGAAACTTCTCCAATTTATAGCTGATAGTTTTTGTTTGAATTTGTAATTGGAGTAATTGGATTTGTCATATATTTTACGTTTGATTGGTTTTACATTGTTGTTCAGCTTAAGTTCTGTAATGAATGCTGTTGCTTGGTGGTCGGTCTTAATTGGTGGTGTGAATACTATTGAATTATTTGTTAGATCTTTTATGCCTAGGTCGGTGATAATATAGTCAATTAGTGCTTTTGAGTGAGTAGGTGTTAATTTGTTAGTGACGTCCAGATTATATGGTATTAGGATTGTATCTAAAGACTGTTTGTCGTCTTCGTTGAGATAGTTGAGATTGTAATCTCCTAGTAAAATTAGGTTTGAATTAAATGACTGTGCATGGTCAATTGATTTGGCTAGATCTTCTAAGAAGTCTGTTTTGTTGTTTCTATTAGGATTGTAGGCCAGGTTTAATAGAGTGGTTCTATCATTTTTGTTGAGTCCGGTTTTAAATTCTATCCAGATGCTATCATACTTTTTGTGCATGTTGTTTAAGTCATGTCTTACTTTTGGGTTTAACTTTTTAGGAACCAGTAACATGACCCCTCCACCCTTCAATTTTTTACTTGATTCATAAGTTCTATCACATCGGAACAACTTATGTTTGTCATTGTCTATGGCCCATAGTTTATCGTCATTTGTATCATTGAACCATTTCTCGGAAAATCCGAAAATTGTATTATCATTAAAAGTTTTGATAAGTTGTTTGAGATCTGAACGCTTTCTAGCTAAGCTTCTACAATTAAGATGTAGTACTTTTAAGTTGTTGTTGTAGTTTTCCAGTTTTTTCTTTATTTGACTGAATTGCATGAATGGTCCTAGATTAGGGTGGATATCCCCTGATGTTAGGAGAGTTTTATGAAGGGACCTTTCTTGTTTTTTATTAGTCTTGCTTGTATTTTTTATATAATAACTGTAATAGTAATAGCTTATATTATTAAGTATAGTGCAATAATGTTTGTTCGAGTATATTGTGGCAACCCATGGAAAAAGATACTTTCCTTTTCTTTTATTCAGTACCGCATAAGCTACGAATTGATCGCTTTCGCAGAAGCTGATGACAGATATGCTAGTTAAGGCAAAAAGTAACAGCATATCGCTTTGTAGAACAAATATAGTTAAAATTACAAATAACAGTCGTTTATCAAAAAGATAGTCTGAACTAGCATTACTTAATAATGAAAACCTTGCGAGTAGTTATATGACTGCTGGTTACGATTCAGATTATGGTTATAATTATTATCACAGCCCCATGAGTTGTTGTTGAAATTATTTTGACCAGTTTGTCGGCCATGACCAGTTTGTCGGCCATATGGGTGCATGCGATCGTTACTATAGGGTCTATTGGTAGACCTATAAACATTTTTATGTTGATAATTGGAAAGCGATTTTTGGTTGGAATTTGCTTTTCCAGTATAATCAGGGGCTGGTTTTACCCTCGGGAGTTTACTTGAGTGTTTGAACACGTATGAGCCGAGGCAATTGCGCAAGAATGGTATACCTAATTCATCGTTCAGGTGTATAGTGTCAAAATATAAACTCTGATAGCTCTCCAAGCTTTTGATGTTTGAGTTTAGATTTAGCACCTCAAATCCCGTCGTCGAACCATACATTTCATTCAGAAAACGATTATAATGATCAATTTTGTCATTAGCATCATCATTGTTAAGTATTGGTGGTATTTTGCAAATAACAATCGATTCTGGTGAAAATTTTGCAGTTATTAAAGCGATAAGTTCTTCATATTTGGCGCTAAACTCATCAATCGTTGAGTAAATTTTTTTAAGATGGAGTTTGTCCCATCTTGGATTATCACACACTTAAGTTTTTTTTCACTATATTGGTCAAGGACTTTTATTTTTTCCTCAGTGGAGCTACCCCTGTATGCATGAACAATCGTATCATTGGGGAAAGTTTCAGTTTTTACCCTATCAATTATACTTGAACCCAAAATCAAGTTTACACACTCCTCTGGTACAGGATAGGGCGAAAAGTTTCTCACATTTTTTGATACTTCTTTTGCTTTCGTCGATGTTGACTGTAGTTTGCCATCCTTGTCTGCTTCCGATGTTTTCTCAATAAACTCCATTGTTTTACGATAATCTTCCTTCTGGTCGTACAAATCGGAGTAAATCTTGTATAATGCTGATTTTTGAAGTCCATTAAATTCTTATTGGCTAAGTTTTTTGCTTGACATGGTTAAAATCGATGCAACTGACTGGTAACTGGAAGTACAGTGTTTGATAATGACTTCAGATCCTGTAATTCTGCTAAATAATCTAATTACAGTGCTGAGATAACTATCTTTTTCTGCAAAATAATTTCCTTTTTTCTGCTGTATAACTTTCTTCTGCAAATATACGTTTTTCTCCTTTCCCAAATTTATTTTGTTCGCTCGTCTGATTCGATCAAGCAATGACTACTGATTTCTAGCTGTTGATTTCTGGCTGTCTATTTTCTTTCGCTATGCCAATTCTGGGCGAACGATGAGTTGAAAGTGGCTCGATCAGGATGCGGGGTACAATCAGTTGAAGGGGAAGAGACTGTGATCAGTTCCCAGTAAATAATTGAATTGACGAAATAAATTGCCGTCCAGAAGGGGAAGAGACTGTGATCAGTTCCCAGTAAATAATTGAATTGACGAAATAAATTGCCGTCCAGATCAAGCAATGACTACCTGTTTTTCTGTTGAAAAATATTTTCTGCTAGAAATAACTTTTTTCTGCAAAAAAAAAATTTTTTTTTTCTGTCAAATAATTTTTCTGCAAAACAGTTTTCTTTTCTGTTGAAAAGCTATAATTTCTTTTTCTACTAAATCGTTTTTCTGTAACTGTCTTTTTCTTTTTCCAAATTCGGTTTTTCAATACAGATTTTCGAATAGAGCATGTATGGAATTTTCCAAATTTTAGGGTTCGATAATATAATGCACGGATGTTTTGTTTTTATTCGAATAAATTTTCTAGTTCAGACTAATCTCTATCTAAACGACTGTATTTTTGTTTTTAGAGAATTTCCATTTAATGTTTGAAGGTCAAAAAGATCAAAGGCGAAAATAATGAAAAAAGAGCAAAAAAAGCCGACTGATTTCTAGCTGTTGATTTCAGTCGGCTTTTCATGTTGAAGGACAATTCATGTTTTCATGTTGAAGTAAATAAGGACAACGAGCACATATCGTGTTGGGACCTTATTTACTTTTCCATAGCTCCTCAAGTGTTTCGAAAACAAGTGAATGTTGAAGTAAATAAGGACAACGTTGAAGTAAATAAGGACAACGAGCACATATCGTGTTGGGACCTTATTTACTTTTCCATAGCTCCTCAAGTGTTTCGAAAACAAGTGTTTCGACTGTAAATTTTGCACCTCTGCAATTTGACGAAGAGAAAAATTAGTTCGAAGCAGATTCTCGATTTCATAAAAAAAAGTCTTCTGTTGTTGAGAAACGTTAAGACGTCCATAAGAGTTTGCTGACTTAAAAGCAAAATGAAAACCATGGGAGCTTTCCACATTCCGCTTAGCTGTAGATCTAGATACCATTGTGATGATTTTCACGCGACAAAGCGTAAAAAACGCCATCTTGGTAAACTTCAATTAAATCAGAAGAAAAACAAACAGTGAAAATTAAGCTTCACGATGAGCCTAGTTAGTACGAAAATATAACCAATCAGAAAAAGGCAGATTTACTGTCTTTACGCAAGCGCAGCGTAATGTATTATAGTAATGTTTTCTCCTGTCGTCCTAATGTACTGTTGTTTGATACTAATACTAAGTGCAGATATCAATACCCCACAATCAATGTGATAATTTTTTCTCTGTGGAACTTTAAATCATTCAAATTTCAGAAGTGTGTACTCGCTGGAGTGAAGCATGCTGTATCCAGTTCACTACTGCAACTGTAAGCGATAGATCTTCCTTAACCAACGGATCTGACCACCATCCGAACCATCATCATCACCATCAGAATCATTCAGCCATTCGATCTCCAGAACCGAATAGTGACAATGAGTGTGCTAATCCGACAAGCGTGTTGATTGAATTAATGGAGCGTTGTTGTAGATCGGTAGCTGATCAGGATATTCTGCTGCTATGTGTGCAGATATTCATCAATGTTGTCAAGGTCAGTGCGGAGAAGACATTTCGAATTTAGAAAGAGTTACATGTTTTTTCAAGAACTACTCGGTAAAGTGTCTTCAAAATAATTTACTTCCTTTTTTCACGAGTTACTTGGTTAGTACGCTAAAGCCGTTAGTACGATAAGCCGTTGCCTCTTCAAAACTGCGTATATCAAAGCAGAGCCGTGAAAGTTCCGACTGCTTTTTAAGTAGTGTTCAGTAGTTTTTGTCAAAGAAAATTGTGATATATTTTAAATTTTGAATTAACAATAGTTATAAAGTGTTAAAATTGGAGATGGAAATACTATTACCAACTAGGTTGAAATAGTCGGAACCTTTGGTGAAATTCGTTACTCGAATCACAGTAGTCAGATCATTCTGTGCTAATCATGCAGCAAGCGTCTATTCCTAATGTTGATTTTTGATTACTTGTTGGTTTTTGAATTTTTTGCTACAAGTTCTTTGGTGCCTCAACAAGTTGTGTTTATTGAGCAGCAACTGGTCATACTAATTTTGAGAATAATTCTGAAATTATTTAAAGATAGAATGTGGCTTATGGTTAGTGTAGGCTTGCAAAATTTGAGTTTAAACTAGATGCTTTTTATTAGGTGAAAACATGTCAAGACAGTCTGAAAAAGGATCAACGTCTGTTTCCCTTTCTCCTCTCACAACTGGGAAAGAATAACCCCTCTGCCTGCAAGGGAACATCGGCTGCGAAGTTGTACTGCCACACCTGTTTCCTGCTCCAGATACTTTTGCACTTCCAACAATGCCAGAAGGTGGGAATGTTTTTGGATGATTTTAGATTCTTTTTGGATTTGGAATCCTTTGGATCCTTCATTTGGATTTGGATTCTTTTTGATTTTTTTTGGACTTAGAATCCTTTGAATCTGGAATCTTTGAAGCCATCCTTTGGATTTGGATCTTTTGGAATCTTTTTGGATTCCTTTGCCTCACCGCATGTTAAGGGAAGCACTTGTTGAGACCATTTATCCACGAGGGAAAGGAAAAACACGAACTGTTCAACTGCTGCTTAACCCCTTTTTTAGCATCTGCATGCATTTTTTTTACTTGGCCTTAGCAACTGTTTCCTCGTCCTTGCAAGCCACATATCATCGGGTAAGGGATGCTTCAATTGTCGATCGTTCTACTTAGAAGCGCAAACCTAAACAAGTTTTGGCTTTCTTGTTTCAGATAGGCAACCGCCCCTCCCATTTGCCAATATTTGAATATTTGTTTTTTAACTTATACAACGTCTATGGCGCTCATTTAAGACCCCCCTTTCCTCTCCGCCTTGCAACCTGATGAATATCTGTTTTCTGCATGCGTTTTTGTCGTTTTTTTTGTAACTAATTCATGTTTTCTTGTATTCAAAATTAACTTCAATCTGTCGTTTATCATGGTCATTTTCAACAAACAGCCTGTTTTCAACTATTTTCATGACACAGACAATAGTAATCGTACATGTATATTTGCTTCTATTGCCAAAGTGTTATGTTGTTTTTTGGGTCTGGAGAAGTCTTGTTTTGGAGATTTAGTGTAAAATATTTAATATACGCATTTTGTTGCATCAAATGAATTGATATCGTGTAAAAAAAAATGAATTTTTTTCTGCTCCGTACATTTTACGTTTATTTATAATTAGTGGTACTTTTGAACAGATCTATACGTATAAACAAGTTACCGAAATCCAAAAAACTTGCGGTTGATTAAATTAGACTCGCGGTTGATTAAAACTCGACTCGCATGTGATTCTAACTCAAGATATGCGCGTGCAGTGATTATGTAGCACACATTTGATGCGAATGATTTTATGACATTCTGCGGCAAAACGCAGCAAAAGTTTATAGTAAACAAGACTGCTCGTATAACAGGGCGAAGCCCTGAGTGTTCTGGTTGCACTTTGAGGCCAACTTGAATTTTTCTTGATTGAAAAATTGACGTAATTATCGAAAAAAAAATTCATTTCTTTAATTTATCGCCACACACCAATGTTAACTACAAATGGTTTTTTTAGCGTCTTGCTTCCTATTAACACGACTAACTGACTTGCCTCATTTCAAATTAGAACGCACTAATACGCCACTTAAGCCTGTTATAAGGGTTCCATGACAATCTACCCTATTCGAATCTACCCAATGCCATTCTACCCTATACTAATCTACCATATATTCCAATTGTCCCTATGCCAATCTACCCTATGTTCTATAAACTGTTCATTGGATCAGGTAACTGAGTTGACTATCTCGGTTTAAGGTCACCGGTTTTCGTAAAGAGTTCTACCCTCTGCTGACAAGCTCGCAACAAGTGGCACGACTGAGGCTATCACTATTTTGCTGTTATCATTCCATCTCTAATTAGGCGTAGGGTAAATTGGTATATAGGGTAGAATAGTATTGGGTAGATTAGTATAGGGTAAATTGTCCTGCTACCGTTACAAAAACGCAACATATCACGAGATAAGTATCCCAAATTTGCAACTTTAAAACCCTCATAATTTTACGAAAAAGGATCACAAGTGAAATATCTTTTTTGAAATTGAGCTCATAACAACAATATCTTTCAGTGGATATAAAAACAATTCCGTCAAAAATACTTAGTTGACTTAATAAAAAACCACCCCAAAAAACAACAAGACTGCCCGTATGTTCAGACTGTTCTTTAACGTATTAGGAGCAGTGTTCAATTAGAAAAAAAACTTAACGAATTTTTCAAAACGACACGTTATGTATCTTTCGCTCACAGTAACTTTTTAAATATCTTGCTGCAGTTCAAAGTTGATTGATTTTGGAGCAGTTTTTAATGGCTGTTTACGCGTTAATAGCAGGAATTAGATCGCGATTCAATTATCCCATGTCGAAAATTTTCAAGCTCCCATAACTTGATGTAAAATGATCACAGGTGAAACCTTTGCTGAAATTTGAGCTCAGGGCGACGAAACTTCGGGATAAAATTTTTAAGGAACAAGAATGGCGCAAAAAATTGCAATTAACTTCTAGTTTTTTTTTTAAATTCGAAAGCTGATGGTATGCTTTAAAATTGGTCATTTTTTATTGCTTCCGTTCACTGACGGTGTTCCGACATTCTGTTGGTTATGTTTTCAAAATTTTTGACAAAAAATGGTAACGAGAGAGTACTTTTGTGCTCGTGCAGTTCAGACTGAGACATGACTGGAGCTAAAATTAATACAAAATTATGATTAAAACTGATCACGTCGTTGTATTTAGATTGCCAAGAGCTATTCGAGACTCATCGAGAAACTGCGCCGACAACATCAGTCCGAAGCTATCAAAGAAAGGAACATCCAGAAATCTCATGCGCAACATTCAATTTCATCATCGTCAACTACAGCTGCTACGCCGGGAATAAAAGGGGGAACTGGAAAGAAAAAAGGTGTCCAGAAATTGGCTTTCAATCTGAAACATGTTCATCCAGCTTGGGAGTTGAAGCAAACCAGACTAGAACCTTGTACTAGTGTAGTTATGGCCTTAGAAGCGTTTCTGGAGCAGTTGAAAATAACTTTTGATCGGACGTGTTAATTTTCTGATTGTGCTGTCGAGGTCAAAATATTAATTAAAATGGATATTTTGTATCGCACAAAAAACACTAGAACATTCACTAATTTTTTTCTTATTGCAATATCTTTGCATTGTAACTCCGAAAAATTCGTTCATTTATTCTTAGAGTAGATTTGAGATGCAGAGCTGTTAATGATAAATTGAACGGCAAAATTGAATTGAAAATAATGATTATGATGTTTTTTAGTTTTGAAGTGAATATTTAATTGAATTTTAAACAGATGTGATCAACGTTTATTTATACGAGCTTGAAAAACTTCATTGTCTCAAGCTTCGAATACAATGAAGGTTGTGCAATTGAGCTATTCAATGTTTCTTCATTCAATTAGTAGGAGCTTTCAGTTTGGAGAGATAATTAAAGCTAGTTTGAACGTGTAAGTTAACTAACACTTATTGTTGTTTGAGTTCTTGGCAAGTGTGTTGAATTAAATTTTAACAATTTTTTTTTCAAATAAAAGTAAGGGGGGTGTGTGCGCATCAGGAAAGCGCTGACCCCGCATGCAGAATTTGTGTAAGACTAAACTGTCCAATATGGGTATTGCTTATTAGGAAACTGAATATTTACACTAGCGATATTTAGTGAAGGTTAGTGTTATTACCCTTGCGATAGCAAGGTTATTTTAATCGGGTACTAGACGTTTTTTACTTGTAAACAACATGGTCCACAGATTTATTGTGTTCCTGGTGGTACCTTCATTGGTTCATAGTGAATGCAAATTTTGTACTATCTCTTGCACACTTAGTCTGATGGTAACGAATACTAGGACGGCAGAGTTCCTGGGTTCGAGTCTGACCAGGACTAAATTTTTTTCTAGCGGTAAATGTTCCGTTTCCAAAAAAAATTCGGCCTGTTATTTGTCTGCTTGTTTTGTCGGCTTAGTTGCCTTGTCTAAAAATAGCTTGTTTTATATCAATCGATAAAAGGAATTCAAATCCAAACAAACATCCGGCGCATCTCGCGTAGAGGTTAAACAACTGCTTGAGACGGCAAAGATTTGCGGCTCGAATTCGGCTGGTTCCTTTTTGTGCTTTTTCGGACTATCTTCCGTTTGTTTATATTTGTCGGCGCAGTTCCCTTAGCTTAATGGTCGTAATTATTCTAAGTTGCTGTTTTTCTTGTGAATTCGTTATATGTGAATCTGCAATTTGTTATATGTGGTATAAAGCTTGATCGTCATTAATTAAGTAGCTTTTTAAATAAAAAAATTAAATTTGATAATTACAAGCGCCGAATGCTGGAATCATTTTGAACAGACCCAGTCAGTCTGTTCAAAAAAATGCTATTCATTCAAGTCATGCATGAAAAACGTATTAGGAAAACAATAAAAACATTCTGGATCTAATTTCGAAGAAAAAAATTGAAAATATGACATCAAACGAGGAAAAGTCAAATAAGCAATTTCACCTGATTTTTATATATAACAAACAGTATGATAATTTTTTTGTGCTTGCGTCAGAAACCAAGAAGGCTACCATTTCTGAACGTTGTTAAGCGATAAAAAGTCAGCTTATTTTCAATGCTGAAAAACTATTTTGATTAATTTAGCATACCTTTTACACAATGAACAAAGAAAAAGAAAATCGAGCGAAGCTTTGGGCTGAAGAGATATTGGGTAGTTCTTTGGATGCTGTGGCTGGAGAAAATCTTGTAGAGGCAATTGGTGGAGGACTGGCAGAGAAGTTGGGCCTAACATTACCCGGTTTGTATGTTATTTTGTTTCCAATTTCAGCTTTATTGGCAAGCGAAAAGATTTTATTGGGTAGCTCAAGTGTAAAAGTCACTGACTTTTTCTATGTTTAAGCTAGTAAAAGCTTGCTGAAACTATAAAATTAAAAATCGTCAACTGAATTTTACAGCGTTTGCTTTGGGATATATTTAATCAGTTCGTTGGAGCTTTTGTTGAAAATTTTTTAAATTTAATTCAAAAAATTGGCAGGAGATTCCAAGAAAATTGTGCCTTAATTGGGAAACGGTTATAAATAATGGCACCGAACAGTTTTCGGAAGCCTTTTGCTTCTTAGCACAAGCAAGCCTAGAGTTATTTTCTGAGCCAACTCGGTCAAACTTTTGTTTTTTGGTTTTGGCTCTTGCTGCATAGCGCTGGCAATTAGAAGCAGGTGTTTGGTGTTTGATACGCTTTATTAATGGATCATTTTTTTAGTTCAAGTTCACATGACTTAGATGTGAAGACTGTAGTCTCGCAGCCGATGACACAATTCCGAAAGATGAAAAAATGTTTTTATTTTTCCTGATTACTTTTGCATTTCTTATTTTTTTGCCTTTTTATAGCAATTTACTGCAGTTATCTCGGTCGTGTTAGCAAAGTTCAGCTTCGTCTCTTCTTTTTTTTTACTAAATGATTTAGGCTTGCTTGAGTTGAAAACTAACATCAGGAGATTTTCTAATCACGGCGGTAGTAATTAGTCGTATTTTCAACGAAATACCAAATCTACAAACCTCCAGATCTTGAAGCCGTAATACGTCAGAATAACGTGAACTATATCAGAATTACGTTACATTTGCATCGCAAAAAGTATAATATATCATGTTTTGGCTTTTGGAATGGTAATATTATTTTTAGCTGGTTGACCTTTCACCAATAATTAGCTTGTGAAAACTTAACGTCAATTTAAAAGGGTCAAGGCTGCTTTAGAAGACTTTTTTTAACAGTTGCGATAAGCAAAGATTTTGCAGTCGTGTACTTGACCTTTTTTTTTGTGAGTTACTTTGTTCAAAAGACTCGTCTAGAGAGTGGTACCGTATTTCATGATGTATTGAAATTTCTAAGAGTTTCCAGCAGAAATAGCCTGGTCTTTGATGGTTGTGTTGCCTGGTCTGGTCTTTGATGGTTGTGTCTTTTGATGGTTGCGTTGTATCGCAAAATGTCCAGAGCTACGTTTTAACCTTGTGCTTAATACAGTTTTTGTTTTGACTGCGAAGAAAGTGGCTGAAATTTGTGCTCGGGCAGGTTTTTTATTCAGACCGAAAATTTCTCGACAAAATTTTTGCTCATCTTGAAGCTATTGATGTCTTGGGCTCAATATCAGAAAGATACTTCACCTGTCATAAATTTTTGCTAAACATGGTGGTTTGAAAATTGCCAATTTTATTGATAATTAACAAACCCATTTGTTGTAAATTAAGTTGAGACATTTGCACTTATTAAACGGCTAGCAGACTTAAAATAAATCACTCTATGTTGTATTGTTTTAGGGGATAAAAACAAAAGAAAATGAAAAATTTGCTACTTTTCCGAATATTTCAATTTTTAACAAAAAAATTATTCCATGGAGTTTTTAATTTTTAACAAACAAAAATATTCCATCGAATTATTCCATTCCCGTACCTAGTGAATGTTCTAATTCTGATCTGAAATAACCTTTTTCAGATCTAAAATTCAGATCTGAAATGGGTTGTGAAGTGTTAAAATAACGCTTCGATACTTTACAAATGAGTTATTTCAAATGTGACATTTTATTTTTCCTGATTTTTTCAGTTCTCAAATAATCTATTTCAGATCTAATATCAAATCTTAAGTTTACTTTTTCTTGGTTTTATCGGATCTGAAAAATCAATAATTCTTGATAGCTTCTGCTAGCTACTAGCAATTACACAGCAAAGTCTCCAATTGAATACTGCCGAATATGTTTCCCCAAGCATGAGATAAACATTAGACACGCATAAGTAGCGCGTGAAAATCAAAAAATTGATAGGTCTTTCAACAGTTTTAGAAAACTTTTAAAACAGTTCAACGAAAAGTTTAGTTTAAAAAAACAGTTTGTGTAATTATTTAGTTAAATTAAACAAAATTGTTTATTGCAGAAATATCAAAAAATAAAAACTCAATTGTTTGCTCGAAATGCACAAATTAAAATTTGACTAAGGGTTTCTCGGATCTATTTTCAGTTTTGCAATCGGACACTTGATTTTTTTTCGTCAGTAACTTTGTTCAAAGGACTCGTCTTTTTCAGATGTGTTGAAATTTCTTAGAGTTTCCTGTAAACATAGCCTGGAGGGTACGAACATGTCTGGGATGGCAAAGACCTCGGGTTTGAATCTGATCAGGACCTCTTTTTATTCAAACTGGACCCATTTTTTTTGGGTTTCACAAAAACTATCACTCTCAAATCTTAGCTTTTGGTTTTTGGTTATAAATAGAACGGTTTTGAAAAAATACCCTGCATAAGCGGCTTACCCTAATTTTTTAAACTTATAAACATGGACCTCGGAATTGTCAACTTTTTCATTTTGAAACTGTTTTGTAATCTTTTTGATTTTCTAAAAAAAATTAAGCAGTAAAATCTCATAATGTGGGTTCAATGGAAATAAACGGTAGTGGGAAGCTCTCCTGTATCAGCCGCCATTCACAAATTTTCTAACACAAAAAGTTAGCGCCCTTGGAAAAATCAAATTTTGAAAAACTACCCTGCCATATCTGGCTTCAATTCAAAGAACGGGTTGTGGAAAGCTCGTTTGTTCATGTGACTTTGTCCAAAGTTTTTTGAAACTTTATGGCATTTATGGGAACATTATGGCCCTCAAAGAAGTCAAAAATCTGATTATGTGACAGTTTTTTGAGAGCAACCCTCCCAAATCTTAGATTTTGGCTTCAATCGAAATTACAGGTTGAACAAATCCCTTCTGCAGAAGCCGCTCCTCCCTAACTTTTTACACAAAAAACTATGCTATGATTCTGGCAAGTGTCAAAATTTTGTCCTGCCAAATCTGGTGTCATAGATTTAATCAAAATAACAGCTTGTTGAAAGCCTACTTTCAAGTTGCTGTGCCAAGTCTCTTCGACAAAAAAATTAGGGCCTTCAAACAAGTCAACTTTTTGAAACTTTGACAGTTTTGTGGAAACTTTTTGATTTTATGCGAAAAATAACGTGCCAATTCTCAGATGTGTTCAATCAAAAAATCCGGTTTTGGAAGTCTTTTCTGCTGAAGCGGCCACAATTTGCTTTTTTGCAGAAAGATTTGATGAATTTTGAGAAGTTTTTTGACCACTTACTAGAATTTATGCTTAGTTTACTTGTACTTTTACTTCGCATTTCTTTGTTTTTTTGTTTTGCTAAAAAATCACCTCAACCGAAATTATTTCGCCGTATTTTTAATCAACCTAACGACCTAGCGCTTTGTGTTAATTCAAGGGAGACAAAGTTTAAACACTCCCCTCCGCATTTTCCTAGTTGGTTGTATGTTTATCACTCGGTTTGTTGAAATTTTTTCTTTTTTCTTTTCGGAAAAAATTTTCACTTTTTGCAAATTTTTTTTAGTTTTTCTCAGAAAATTCTATTATCGATTGAAAGACCGCCTTCTCCTCGGTGTGCTTGCATAATCTCCTAGAGTCTTTTTTTACTTGACTCCTCTGACTACAGCCTCCGAAAAAATCTGTGAGGGAATAATTGACCGATTGTTTTTGGTTTGTCAAAAACTACCGC